ACAAATACTGCTACTACTACTACTACTACTACTACGACTACGACTACTACTACTACCACCACCACCACCACCACTACTACTACTCTACTACTACTACCACCACCACTACTACTACTACTGCTACTACTACTACTACTACTACTACTAGTACTAGTACTAGTACTAGTACTCTAGTACTAGTTACTAGTACTAGTACTAGTTCCAGTTCTAGTTCCAATTCTGGTTCTGGTTCTAGTTCTACTACTACTACTACTACTACTACTGCTACTACTGCTACTACTACTACTACTACTACTACTACTACTATTACTAGTCGCGGTGGTAGTCGTAGTGGTGGTGGTGGTGGTCGTGGTCGTCGACGTCTCGTCCTCGTCGCCGTCCCAGTAGCAGTAGCACTCGTCGTCGTCGTAGTAGCAGTATAGTAGCAATTAGTAGCAGAGGAGGTGTAGCTTCAGTCTTATTCTGCAGGAGGAGCAGTACGGCGGCTATGACAACCAAGGTGGCGATGGAGGCTACTGACATGGCCCTTTGCGGAACCAGATCGGACTGAAGCCATGGAAAAAGCGGCGAATTCCTCGTAGGGGTCCTTCAGTCGTCTTCGGCAGTAGCTGATAGTCTCGATTTCAATTTCTACAGCGAGATAGGCATCTGCGCCTTCTGGCTTTTGAGAGAGCCAGCCACTGCACGCAGTGCAGGAGCTTTCCGATGCCTATGCCAAGTGTGCCACCATCCAGGCACGGAGTAGCAGATCGCTTCCTCAGACCCCAGCCGGATAAGAAGCGTTGTTGGAAATCCCCTGAAGAGTTAGAAGGTCCGATCCATGGAGACAAAGGCAGATGTCAGTTTGAATAAACGGTAAAATAAAGATGAATCAAAGGTAAAATAACGGTGAAGTTGTAAGGTGAAGAAAACGTAGAAAAAAGGTAACAAGAAAGTCACATACAGCTGGAACCAGGTGAAACAGAAAGGCAAAGAAAAGGTAAACAACAGGTGGGAAAAGGGTGAAGACCAGGCAGAGGGCACGTGACTCGGATTTTCAAGCACTCCCACGCCCGCCCACCAGCCGGTGGGCCGGTGGGCTGGCGGGCGCGCATCCGTATCGCTTTCCTGTAAAAAAGGTGTAAAAAGGGTATCAAAAAAAGGTATTAACAAAAAGGTAAATGTCACGCGCAGGCCAGGTGATCCGGCATTGCCCACACACCTGTCCTTTGCGTGGTCTTCACCTTTGGTTTTGACTTTTCTTCACCTTTTTTGACACTGTTTTCAGCTTGTTTTTACCTTCTTCACACCTTTTTTTCGCATTTTGTAAAGGAAAATGATAGGGACGCGAGCATGCCAGCCCGGCTGGTGGGCGGGCATGGGAGTGCTCGAAAATCCGAGTCACGTGGCCTGTGCCTGGTCTTCACCTTCTTCCCACCTTTCACCTTTTTTCATTTGTTGCCATTTATGTACTTTTCTGTTCACCTGGTTCAAGCTTTATTTCACCTTTTACCTTTATTTTACATGTATTGTACATTTTTTCAAGAGGGCTGTTTGGGCCGCCTCCATCGGAACGGTGATCTCAGTCCCGAGAACGCTGCTGATTCAGTCCTTCGTCGACACACGCACACAGAGCGTAACGATGTGTTAGCTTCTCCAGAAAATCCGTGAATAGGTTCAGACAGTACAAACACGCCAACTTCCAACAGCGTGACAGCTAGATCCCCAATGTTGTCTAATTAGTCTAATTGTAACAAACATCCGCACCGCACCGCATCGGCATGACCACCTGAACAAAGCCAGATTTAGACATGGATCATTCACCACCCTGGCACGGAAGCTAGTGCCAAGCAACTGGCAGTGCAGTGTTCCAGGCAGAGGTGAAGCGGCGGGAGGACCCTGGGGAACAAAGCGTGCAGGTTTATATTCCAGAGGGAGGTTGGCTTTCTGACTCATTCCAACGTTGGTTGGGGTTNNACGTGATTTACGTTCGACGTTCGACGACCGAAGGCGTCGTTTGCATGGAGTGCTCACTTGGCATTCAGAACTATGGAATGCTGCCCACCAATGTTTGGTCCTTGGGAAACAGATAGTTGTCATCTGCGAGGATCTCTTGAGGGGAATTCCCCTGGTGCTGGCAGACTTCCTAGATTCTTTGATGCATTCAAGTTGATAGCGTGGCGAGATGCACGACCGCCTTTCCTTCTTCGCTCAAGTGATGCCCGTGGACTGAGGAGCAGATCCATCTTCCAGATCCTGCGCTTTGTCCTCATAGTCAGGGGGTGGTATTCCCGGCCAGATGATCCAGTTGCTTCATGCGCACATCCTCGGTTTCCAGGATCTGACAAATGCTGGCGCTCGGCCGGAGGACGCACCGAGGCGTGGACATGCAGTGCCAGCCTAGCAGCTAGGTAGGTGTCGAAGACTCAGCATGAAGACGTCGTGCCTTTCAGAGACCAGCATGACAGCTTTGATTGGCGTCTCGTATGCGTGGAAGGTGGTTTAGCGGCTCTTTGCGTAGGCAAGCGGCCAGGCTGGTAATAGCTGCTTTGCAGAAGCTCCAGACTGCGGTGTCCAAGCGAATCTTGACCGCATTTTCGCTGACCAGAATGTCTCATGGAGAAACAAAGAAGTGGCGGCATGATGCAGCTCCAGGTGAGGAGGAGTTGAAAGCAGCTAACGAGAAGATCGCCGAGTTGTGCAAGCACCGTGGGATGCAGGAACCATGTTGCTTGACTAGGCTTCTGTGACTGCACCATACAGCACCGCCACGGGGACAGTTAGCAGGGTGCCTGCAATGGGCTTTTCAGGCGTGTCTGACACTTCGATGCGACTCTGAAACCAGAGCAATGTCGAGCGGGTTCCCCTGAAACCACCTAGGTACGGTGCCAAACGCGATGAGGATGTGCAGCGTGAAGCCTATGATGCCCTGCGAGTGGAGCTGCTGGACAGAACCTGCTTGAAGAGCACAGCCAAGCAATCTGAAACGCAAAGGAACCGCGGAGTCGCGCTAGTCATAGCAGAGGTGAGCAGCAGATGCTACAGGTGAAGAGCGGTAGTGGCTAGCGACAGGCCGTTGCTGGTTGTCTGAGTTATCTGCTATCTTTGGATCAGCATCTCCAGGACGTCTCCAAGCGTTGTGCTGACGCAGAAGCCAAGCTGCGCGAGCTCGGTGTGGAGGCCAGAGGCAAGACAGTCGGGGATTGAAGAACCCCCAATCCATGTCGTGTCAGTGCCCTCCGAGGAGACCAAAGCAGCAGGTACAAGCCTCATCACCAAGATGTCCATGCTAATCTACCAGCTCCAGGCCGCTCAGAACGTCGCCTCCGGCCACCGCTTTGCACCGTTTCGCCGTTCTGCGTTGAGGTCTCTGTGATCTCCGGAACTGGGCTGCGAACAAAGGCCTGGCGGCCTGGACCAGCACGCCGGCACAAACTCTAGTGCCCACATTCAGGAATTCAGCAGATGATGGTGCAGGCTTTTTGAGGGGCCCCAGCCAAGGAAGCCGAAGCGCTGTCTTGCATCTTGTCTACGACCTCCGGAGTGCGAGCCAGCAAAGCCGAGCCCTGCTGCGAACAAGACTCTGCATGTCGTGTTCGAACGCGAAGGTATCGTGGAAGTGGTGGGCAAGGCCAGTTAGTGGGCAGCTGCAAAAAAGATGTTTGTGCTGCCAAAGTCATTGCTAGTGATGCACTTATTCAACCTTGTGCAGTTTTTGGCGATTCATTTCAAGCATTGCACTGGTATATTGTCGCCATGAAGACCCATAAAGTTGCAGCGGGTACTCTGGTGCCAGTCACTGTAGGAAGCCAAGTTCGAGACCAAGCCTGTGCGGGACTCCAAGAATCCAGCGTGGAATCACAGCGGCGAGCTGCAGATGTCGCACAGCGCCTTGCCTCGCTGTGGATGCCTGCAACCAAGCGAAGCTGCTCTGAAGTCGATGGTGGAGACATCTGCTATCTTCTTCATATGCATGTGCCAACGGGTGTGTTTTGCATTACTGATCTCATTTGAGAGCCTGTGTGCATCGAGGTGATTCGCTGCGGTTTATGGTTCAAGGAACCCAGCAACGTACCCTTGGCAAGGCGCACTGAAGTCGCACAGATGCTGCGTACAGCGTTTAGACATTGGAGAGATGCCTAAATTGGATGCAGGCCGACCTGCAAGCGACGAGGCTCATCGGCCAAGGCAGCGCAAACAGAAGTGAACGCAAAAGACAGGCGTTCATGGCAGTTCGTAAATACTCTCTGGGCATAGCTGTAGCGGACTTTTGCTTGGGAAGCTTGCAAAGCTTACGAGCCGGACCGCAACCCCCGAGTACAAGCAGACTGATGGTGCAAAGCCGGCGCCAATTGCACAAGACGGTGCCTCGCCAGCTTGCCCAAGTTGGGCAAACCACTTCTGTTTGTACAAACTACTGCAACTTGAACAGCTGTGACTGCGGGTCCGACACAGCCGCCATTCTTCGATGCCGGAGGCTTCGAGGGCGAGCTGGCGTTGAAGGAAAGACCGAAGGAGCTACTGGAAACGGAGACGGAATCCTCCCTGAAGGTCTCCTGATGCTTTTGGGACAGTGCGGGGTAGCCTTTTGCATGGAATGGGATCGGGCCGTCGGCTTGGCATCTGCAGACATCGAGCTGCTGCATGCAACCAACGGCCCCGTCCGAACTTGCCTGAGCGCAGATGTCGTGAGCTGTGCCAGGTCAAAGTTTCTGCTTGGAGCTCAGCGGTGTCTCGCGCAGCGGCCCACCCTGAAAGCGCCAGGTTCGAAGATGACCCTGAGTAGCCTGGGTTGGAAAGTGCAAAATCAGAGCCGCCTCAGCAGGGGTCTACACACCACAACGCCCGTGTTACTCAGACAGGTTATCAATGGTTATCACGAAACCCCGAAAGGATAGACTAGCTTCCGCTGAGGTCTTGAATTCCTTTCTGGCCACAGCCTCCGACATGCCCCTAAGCTTGCACGCAGAATGGACGGACACAGCCACCGCGAAATCGTAATTCGGAGGATGCGATGGGATCCTCCATTTGTCCTGCTCTCCACTCTCCAGCCAGGCCTTCCTCGAATCCGGCTCCTGTGCCGGGCGCGGGCAGCAAGGACACGGCCAGAACTTCACAAGATCTCGCAAGTGTTACTTCCGTTTCTGTTCGCCTGCAACAGACATTGAATAAACGGGGTCAGATGTCCCAGCAGCAGCAGCAGCAGCAGCAGCAGCAGCAGCAGCAGCAGCAGTAGCAGCAGCAGCAGCAGCTCCTTTGCAAACATCTTAGTGGCTAGTTGCCCCACTGGAGCCCCGAAGAAACGAACTCGAGTCGTGTTATCCATATGCCATATGTAACCCGGTCCCATCTAACTAAACACCAGGTATCATCCGGTGATTAAGCCGCAGGCACAGCGAATGACTTGAGTGGGCAGGGGAGGGACGAGTCTGACAGAACCTTAGTTGTTGAGATGTGGGCGGAGTGGGCAAGCTGGGTCAATCAGTATTGACAGTACACCCTTTCGTCAACACACTGGTCATCAATGTCTAGAGTCAAAAATTGCTTTGCCCCGAAAGTCTGTACCGTGAATGAGGTACGTTGAGAAAGCCGCGGGCTGTTAAGGGAGATTCTAGCGTGGCGGATCCACTGCAAGCCTCGGACGCAATCTGATGTGCTGCAGGATTTCCTGGCAATTGAAAGGGAGTGCTTTTTCTCGCGGTGGTTTTAGACTGTGCTTCGCCGATTGTTCTTTTTTTCCAGGCCCGGAACCTGGTAGGATTTCAAGGGGCGGGGTCATCACCCCCTTTATCTACCGCACCGTGCACCCATCACGCCCGCCCGCTCCGCCCGCAAGCCGTACCGCCTGCATCGCTGAATCGAGATAGTCGGACAAGAGTTTTTGTTTTCACGTCCAAAATTCTGCACAAATAACCCTACATCCTAATCGCTGAGTCCGTTACCCTCTTTACTGTTTGCTTGGGTCATGCCGCGCTCTCGCTGCAACGATAAAGGGAGGAGAGCTGCTTCAGCGTGGTGTGGTGGGGGTGCTGGTGTTAAGCTCGCGAGGAATTCCCGAGGGGTTTATGTGGAGTGGGCCGAAGAGGCCGACCGTCTGCATCTTGTTTCGGAAAAAGGCAGAGGCAGGCCATGCAGGAGGTGACTCCAGTTCTGCGGACTGGGTCAGAGGGTGGCATGCGGCACCACCGCCCTTGCAGGAGTTTCTGCACATACTTTATAATCTTTATAACCAGGCCAGCCCAGCTCTCCTCGAACCCGCCATGATTACGCATTAATATGCATGACGAATGGGGCTTGACGAACAGGAGTTGCTTCCTGAGCTCAATGAGGTAGGCGAAGAGGGTGCAGCAACCAGCGAAGAGTTTAGTTTTGATGGATGAGCGGAGGCAGATGCATCTTGGCATTTGCGAAAATCATCTAGCTTGCCAGCTTCGCTGTTCGGGCACGTTCATACAAGCCGCTGCATGGCACGCAAAGGCGATTCGCGATTCTGTGCAAAGATGATGTTGAAACCACGCAGTTGCAAAGTTGTGGCACTGCGTGCGCTGTCCCATTAACACTTGTACCAATGTCGTGAGGACAGAATTGACAGACGATCGACCTTTCATCGGGCACCGTCCAGCAACTCAAGGACCTGCTTGGTCGTGTAACCAAGACGAAGGCATGAAGGCAACGGGGTGTCCTTGGTTTCACAACGCTGGCCGAGCATGCAGCTGGCGGTTGCCTGCAGCAGACTGCCTGGTTGACTTCCGACCGCAGACTGAAGCAGCCTTCCAAGGTGTAGGTTTGTGGTAGAGGAGCCCTGAATCGAAACTACGACAAAGTCGAACAAAGTCGAACTGAGTCTAAGTGGGTGGGATGCAGCGACAGTTCGAACGGGATTCTTGGAACGAGCCTAGACGTGTCGCTCTGTGGTGATGGCGCCGGCGCAAGAGCATGTCATTGGCTGCATGCTTGGGGCAGCTGTTTCTGGTGACAGCAGCCTTCTTCGTAAGAGCGGCAGGCTTCGGATTCAAACTTCGGCAGCCCTGTCTTGTGTGACCGAGTCCAGTCGCTTGGCAGGCACCACCGGCGATCGTTTTAGACAGGGAACCTCTACCACGGAGCCTCTTCGAAAAAGTCGGAGAGCGGTGTCGAGCCTCGCTCACTTGTATGGCATGCACGCAAGCCTCACCTCAGGACCCCGGCTACGGGCGCAAGTCGCTTTCAGATAGGCAGGAAGGCATCGTGCAGGCTTGGCTCCGTAGCAGTTGGCAGCCGTTGCTCGTTAATCTGCCCGTGGTGTGTGTGTGTGTGTGTGTGTTTCCAAGAGCTGAAGGTGTTGTCTGTGGATGATCCAGATGGCTCATGCGAGCAGTTTGGTATGTTTCTGGCCTGCATGTCGAGACCTTGCCATCCCTGGGCTTTTTGTGTATCCTGGGATGTCACTTGCTCCATGGATCGCAACGGCTGGGAGAAATTTTGGGGCAGTTGAAGCAAGACTCGTAAGCCTGCTTATTCTCTGCGGCACGGCCGCGACCCGCGAAACTCAAACGTCACACAGTAGCACTATTCAAAGCCACAGCGTTGACAGATCTCGACAGAAACGCCTGCACCTCGAGCCCCAAGGCTTTCGATACGAGACCGCGACAGTTGCCGCATAGCGTTTCGAGCACTTGGGCTTGGTACCACAGCTGCAGGCCGGCCACTCCCTGGTGCCGCTAGAGTGCTAGGGCTCAGAAACGGCCAGAAGATTCAATGTTACTGAGGTCATGCGGACTCAATGTTGCACGCAGGCCAGAGCTTGAAATGCTTGAAACTTTTCAACGCAGCGGTCTTGGCCAATAGTTGCACAAGAGAGCAGCTCAGTCAGTCACAGACGGCACCTGCACTTTGCCGACCACCTCCAGGCGTGCCCGAAGCCAACGCTGATGAATACTCTGGATGCCTGGTGTATTACCACGCTTCGTGGGATGATCTCTGGTGGCAGACAGCCGTTTTTCCGTGGACTCATTGGTAAGGCCGGCAGTCACTCACCAGCAATGCAAATCTGCACATCCAAGGTGTACCGGTACATCTTCACCGACATCGGGCCGGACAAAAACTCAACAAAGTTCATTTCCTGGCCTGAGAAACTCAGCTGTCAACCTTGTGCTGTCAGACTTCGACTCTAGGGACTAGGGTCTCTTTCGCCCATCTTCAGCTTGTCTCGCGGGCGCAATTGGGCTGTAGATGAGAACTGCAACTTCCCCTCAGGACGGCATGCACAGAACTGTTCGCATGTGAATACCGAGGTCTTTCACGCCGGTGTGCCTGAGCAATCCTCCACGCGAAACCTGCGATGTTCCAAAGGGCTGCGCGAAGGACACTGAAGTTGTCTCAAGTTGGGCTCTCCTCTGACGAGTCGCGGAGCAGATCGAAGATTGAGGTACACATGATTTTGAGAGGCTCCGGTTGGCTAGTTCAGCAGATGCGCAGGACGAAGACAAAGAGGAGAAGGATGACAAGAAGAAAAAGGCGCAGCCGAGTGTCTGCCGGGCCGTGATCGTGAAGATAAGGGTGAGCATGCCGAGGCTGTTGTGCTCCTGCCTCAAACTGGCAAGAAGAAAGAGGATAAAGAGGCACGCAGTGCGATCAGCTGCAGCGTTCACGAACCGTGTCTAGAGCCAGGACCAGCGACCGAAGCCGGAACCTTGCCTGGATCGCCGATGAATGGAAGGGTGCAGAACGTTTCAACTGTTTTGCGGCATTGCGCCCCACAAGTGCGCAGTTGAAGTGATAGGTCAGAGTGATCAAAGTGGGTTCTTGAGCGCCTCCAGACAGTTAAGGAGAAGATTGACAATGGCGAGGAGTGCGCTCCGGAATGCCCAGAAGGCGGGTGTCCAACTCGCATTCCAACTTGTAGCAACATGACAATGACATGGTAGCGTGAGTAAGCTTTAGTGATTTTAGTGTCTTTTGCAGAGTGGTCCGATAAACCTGGTTACATGGTTCCAAAGGCCCCAGTTTTGCCGGCTGGGGCACCCGCTTTCCTTTCGGCCAGAGTTCCCGATGATCAAAAGATGCGTATAGTACAAGGCTTGCAAGCTTGCAGGCATCTCGCTAGTGCAGTACCTCTTCTCCTCTTATCAATTCAAGTTTCAGTAGTTCGTTATAGATACTCCAGATACTGGTTTCGCGTTTCGACAGCAGAGTAGACGGGTTCTGGTAAAGCTACGGAGTACACATGCAACAAGCGATGCTTGCAGGACTGCACGGAATGCATAGAAGGCAGATGTAGTAAGGTGGAGCCAGCACGGCAGAAGTATGAGGTATGGGAGGTGAAGAACTTGGCCATTCTACAAGGTTTCTAAATTTTCAACAAATGCCTACAGCGGGGCTGGGCTAAGAAAGTCGCGATGTTCGCAATGTCCAGGCTATCAGCCAAATGTGGCCAACCTCTTTTGTGCGTTTGGCCAACTCTCTCCAGCAAACTATAGCTGCGTGCGGGCCTTAGGGCTGAGCATGCGATCTTGTTGATGGGTTCCATCCGCATCTTCTGTCGACCTGGATGATGAGTGTTTCCTGTCATATACTTATCAAAGGTCCCATCTTGGGAGCCAGAAGATACGTGCCTGGGTCTGCATCAGCCGGAAGATTCACACTGCGGTGTCCAGCACTGGATGAGGGGTGTGGCTTCCGTTGGTGAGCCGGTGTAAATGCACGAAGCTATCTGGTTCTGTTCGAAATATGAGTGCGCGGCTCTGTGTGCAGGAGCGCTTGCAACATGTCAAGTGGCTGTGTCAGCCGCACCGTTCGCAACACCTCGTGCCAGAGGCCTCTTCGGATTGCAGAATCTGCTATTGTCTGCTTGTTCGATTATCGATCTGATGCTTGTTTCGACGATCTCTTGACTCTTGAAGGTGGGACGTCAGCAGGCCGCATGCATTTGGAGACCCACCAGCAGCGTGCCTGCAAGAGATGACTTCACTCAGCAGTGGGGGGGAAGCCCAAGAATGGTACATGTCACATTGTCCGAGAGTTCTGAGGCTTTTGAAGGACTTTCGGGTTCCACGAATACACCTTTGCAGGAGGCGCTGACTCCCGCCCACAACTTCTGCGGAACCCCGATGGTGAGCGGGTGCTTCAGCTGATTTTGCAGAGGGCCATCAGTTTCTGCTGCAACCCTCTGAGTCTACGTTACGTTTGCCAGGGAGATAGAAAAAGTATGCCTGTTTCAGGTACGGACCTCATGGCAGTCGATTGCCATGGTGTGACTCTGCTACAGTAAGCCGCTGTTGGCACGAGGATTCCGTGATGCAGCCTTTGAGGCTTCACCAATGATCCTGGGATGGAGTGGGACTTTTGCTTGGAGGAGCGCTGCATCGAGGGCCCCTGGAAAGACAGGTCCGACACCCAAGTGGCCCCCCAAAGGTCTGAAATCGGAGTCTCGAAGTTGCCTGCCAGGTCAAGCGATGTCAACGGTTTCAGCTCAGACTTCGCGTCTTGGCAAAATTCGAGACAGCAAGGGCTACAGCAAGAAAGAGCAGGGTTGCAAAACATGCAGTGCGTTGTCAGTTTCCAGTTTTTCGCCAACGGTGCTTGCGTGGTGCTAAATGAATATTTGAACAGTTGCCAATGCTAGAATAATACATAAATACATACATACTCCTACCTCTTGTGCATGCTGCAGAGTTTCTTTTGGATGGCGCCGTGTCCTGTCTGAAGCCGGTTCATAGACGTTTCAAGCGATACCGGCCTTGCCGGGGCAGGCGTGGACGTGCCGTGATTATGTGAGCCGGGAGCTTTGCACGGTGGTGCGGGCCCGAGCTCTGTGCGCACCCGGCAGTGGCCCGCTGAATTCTGGACTCTCTTGGAATGCATTTGCCGCAAGAGGCTGACGGAGAGTCTGTTGCGAAGACCCTACTGGGCATACAAGTGCGTGAGTAAAATGCATTAGAAGCACTTGAGATGCCCACAGAGCCCAGCCCGAGGATGGCGGATATGGCCCTGGCTGGTCGACAGATGCAGCGGGGAAGAGCCTCGGAAAGCACACTTCGTGTTTGCAGGACTTTGATTTCTTCGTTGCACCGGGAGTGTCGTTGCGGCTCGGTTCATAGCTGCATCAGCATCACTTCCCTGAAGCCTCCCCGGCTCTGGCGTAGATCCTGTCGCAAGCAAGCTGTCAAGCGGCAAAGCATGTCAAGGACCAGACACGGCACCTTTGAAGACTACAGGCAGCTGCGCCAGTGGGTTGATTATGTAAGATAACTTCCCCTGCTTTGGGTTGCCCAGCTGGTTTCCGGAAATGTCCGTTACAAGTGCCAGCTTCGATGAAGATTCCGAGCGAAATCCGAGTCCGTGGCTCCCAACTCGAAGATACTTGTAATAGTTTTGATGTTCAGCGATGGAAGTCAGAGCATTTGCGCAAAGCGCTGCAGCAGGGCAAAGCTTTGGCAGCATCGCAGTGCGGGCGATGCTCGGTCGAAGACCCCGTGGCATGGACATAAGCCGAAGACGAAAGGCCAACAGCTGAACGTCGTAAGCGGAACACCGCCTGCTCTCTAGCACGCAGAGCCTTCATGTTTCTCAGGGCTGTGCACGGTCCCGGTGAGGGCCAAGGGAAGATCGCAGTTGCAAGGGGGATTCTTTTCGGCACTGATGTCATGAGCTTTTGACTTGCTCGGGAGAAATCTAATGCGCTTGGACGAATACCAGGCTGGCACAGCTGCATAGCAGCTCCAGAGCCCAACTTTGGAGTACAGTCCCAGTTCGTGATAGGAAGTTAAGTTGACACCGCCAGGTTCATGGGGCTCACCGCTGTCGATGCGTGCCCCGCAGCGCAAGTTCCGACTAATGCAACAGCGTTGGCAGACATGCGTTTAACAGCTTGCGAACGTTGGAAGCTACTTGAGGTGCTGTGGCTGCGGCGGTGGGAATCGAAATCCAGAAATCTGTGAGGCAGCTGATTCAAAATGACTAGTTGAACAGGCATGAGACTGGAGTAACTAGTGCTGCTAGCTGCTGCAGTGCTACAGTACTTTCCCACGTACTGCACTACATTGTTACTACATATTACTAAACTTTACCAAACGTGCTTTGAATGTGACGACAGTGGCAGCAAAGACTCTCACACAGGTGTACATGCATGCATGCATGGATGGGTGGATGGATGGATGTATCTACGTATCAATAGACGGATGGATGGATGTGTGCGTATATGTACTGCGCAACCATCATATGAATGCTCTGTCTCTCGCTCTCTCTCTCTCACACACTTAGCTGCAACCCTTTGTTCAGATGTTGCGCTTTAGTCTTGTCCATGCGAGAATTACGATTTGCCCAATCTCGTGCGCAGCTTCATGCTGCCTTTGCTGTCTACGACTGCGACTGTTAAGGCTGCCGCGGACATGGAGAAACATTCAGTACGTCCACTTTACTTTCTCTTGGTACTGCTTTACCCATGGCAGCGAGCCTGTTGATTGATGTCGTCTTCTTGGCACTGCATGCCGGCAATATCGCCTGTGAACGCGGAAACCGCACTGGCCTTCGTGCAATGAGGACAACTCGCGCTTCCAAGACGACATTGGCAGCTGCGCTGCGCGATCAATTCACCGCATCGGCTGTGATGATGACTGGGCCCCCTGTTTGCAAGCAGGCATAAGCAGGCTCTTCGAGTGTCAGAGAGGCCGATGGACTTTGCATCTGGCCGGAGTGCTGACAACAGGTGCGCTGGTATTGCCCCAGGGCATGTGGTCTTTGCTCGGTGCGCACGGTTCCTCGCCATGAGCTGAAGGACAGGTGCGAGGATGACGAGTATGCAGCTTGGCCGTCTATTTGCGGGAGCTCCGCAAATCCGAGTTGATCCCAGTCCTTGTTCTTGTCACTTGTCATCGTTGACTTTGCCAAATCCCTGAAGTTTCCATAGAGTACTAGAGTTGCAAGACTTTGCAAGCCAACACATCGGTGCGACTAAGAACCAGCTCAGCTGCGACTTGTTCGCAGTGCCCACCGCGGCAGACAAGTGTGCCTCATTCGCAGTAGAAGCATTGCACCGGTACAACCGGTACCCGATATCAATATCCATAATCGCTTGCCAGTCGTCCGCAGTACTACGACAGGATTAGGAGCAGCTGTGGCATGATGTGTGGGGTTTAGGGTCAGGGCTGTGCGAAGACTGAGACTCTCGTTGCTGTTCGACTGCGCCAGTGCGCAGCGACTTGAGGTAGCTCCGAGTCGCTGACTTCAGAACTGCGAAATGTCCTGGGCACGAAGGCGACAAGACCGGACCGTGTCATGTTGTGGCCAAAAAAGTCGAACTAGGCAGTTGCGTAGGTTTGCGTGCCGGACTGCCTCACGGCACGTGTGTGTGTGTGTGACCTCTTCTAGAGCTGCAGGCCACCAGGGTGCACACATGGAAGATCATGGAAGCATAAAGTTTCGAGTTGGGCTTCGCTCCACGGGCTTCTCTCTTGCGAATTCGGCTGGCGCTATCTGGCCTGTGCTGAGAGCTGCTATACCGTCATGAATGCGAGGCACCTGCGAGCTTCAGCGAGAGCCTTCTGGAATCTATCAGGGCGTACTGCCCCTTTTCCTGCCGAGATTGCCGAAAGTGCGAACCAGGCAGACTGGAACCACTGCTCCAACTCCCTCCAATCGCACTTGTGAAATTTCTGCTGTATCTACTGAGCATGTCGCCGCCGGATCGAACGGCTGGTTCAGACTTATGTTGCAGGTGATGGTCCCCTGCCCAGCCCCTTCGCAGTTGCGAGAGTTAGTCATGAGTTCGAGTCTGGCGAACAAATGTGTCATGAGGGGGCCATAAATTCGTCTTCCCCAGCTGACCCTGTTCGGGATCTCCAGATGATGGGTACCGGCCATGCTCCAGGACTGATGTTCGCATGCTCACCGTGTTATCACAGCCTCAACTTCAGGTAAATGTGCACCTGCACAGGCAGACAGACTTATGCACATACGCAGGCAGACACCTAGTAGCTCATTCTCGCCCGGCTTGACAGCATGCTCCCCGCATTCCGGCCCCGGAGGTTATTTTATGGATGCGTCGAAACGCTCCTACGACCCAGAGATTTGCCAAGAGCCGCTCTGACTTGTGACTTAAAAACCGGCCTTGAGAACGCTGTCTGTGCAACATCGCGTGCGACTTGGGCCGTAGGCTTGTTGTGCCGTGCGCATATAGCTTTTCATGATGGTGTAGTGCTGCTTGTGCTTCACTCTCACTCCCCACTCTCATGTTTGCGCTCGCCGACTTAATTCACTCCTGACTCTCCAGTCTCGTCGCTGCCCCTGGCATCAATGTTGGTATCACTTCTGTCTAGCACGTTAGCCAAGCCCTTGAGGTGCAGTCCTGGCAGATTCCAGCTCTTACGGGCTACAAACTGCTTTGAGCCCTCGTCCGCAGACATGTTTATGACTCTATGCGTTCTGTTCTTCTGTAGTTAGCATCAGACATGTTCAAAGCAGCCTGAGCTTCACCTGCTAGGCAGCCCTCCTCGTTCCTCTTTCCCAGTACCTCCAACGAAGGAGTGTGAAGCTGGTCGCTATGCAGATACTGCCGCAGCCCGGGCTTGCTCGAGATGTCCACGAGGCATCTCTGAGATTGAGAGCAAGATCAGAGTCTGCGATTTGGGTTTGGACGGTTTGGGGTTCAAGCCACGCGAATTCCTTGCACCGGGAGATGTTTTATTGGATGCTTAGTTCTTTACCACCGTGCTCCAGAATTTTGCCTTTCCCCACCGATTATGTTCCAGAATTTCGCCTTCATCCTCCTTAGTTGAGATGGCTTCTTCATTAGCTTCACAACTTGACCCCAATGTAAGAAGTGGACAGGAAAGTGAGCTGCGGCCTGCAGGCACGACTAGCACTTCTGGTGCCGCCAACTGCACAGCTTGCCCGGCTGGGAGCGTGCCTGACCAGCCTCCTGGCTCTGCTTCCGATTGCAATTTGCAAATGCCAGTTACATACAGGCTCAGGCATGTTCCTGTTTCGCCCCCGAGGAATCTATGCCAACCTTGCCCCGCAGGCGGCCGGCGGTGGCGCTGCAGTTGCACGCAGTTGCATGCAGTTGCAGAGAAGTGAGTGAGTATCGTTTCACTTGGCAGGCTCTTACGCCGACAGCGCCCTGCTCGAATGTTTGCCATGCGCCCCGGGCACTGCAGCTCAGCCTGGGAGCCACTGGGCACAATTCTCTGGTTTGGGAGGCCAACTGATCCACTCGCTGCGGAGTCCTCTCAGGCTCAGAATGTACGGTGTGTTCACCGGGACGGCAACTTGGCGGCATGTTCGCCCACAGTGCATCTGTCAGAGAATTTGACGTGTAACAGGACATGAAGGCAAAGGAAGGGATATATCTATGTATCAATACATACATACGAATATATACGCACATACATAGATCCAGCCATCACAAACAGATGACAATCCTACTCTCTCTAATCGCTTCCCCCTTTTTTTGAACACCCGTCTGAATTCCGGGGAGGGTTTCGAGGCTCCATATAACACAGTAAGAGCAAGAGCAGGAGCAAGAGCAAAAGCCGGAGCATCAGCAAGAGCAAAGCAACAGCAAGAGCCAGAGTAAGAGCGAGAGCAGGAGCAAAAGCGGGGCGGACAGCCCTGGGAGGGGGGCAGGGGGAGCCCGGAGGGTGTGGGGAGGGTGGGGGCTAGCAGCCCGGGACCCACGATTAGACACACATGTCTGACATGCATGCAAACAAATACAGGCATTCAGTACACGTTTGTGCATGCATAGAATATGCATGCATACAGACATAGATACGCATGTTGACATCAGCAAGCTACCCTACTTCGAGAGATCATGCCTACATGCGCATAAGCTTGCTTCTTTGCAAAGGTACAGCGGCGAAGGAAGCGACAGGCACGGTGGCCTCACAAATGCAAAGTGGGGGACATGGCTTCTGTGCGGGAGCAAAGAGGTGCCATGCATGCGAACCTGGTCGGGCCGCGCCCGAGAACGGATCTGAGGCAAAGAAACCTGCAGTGATGAAGCATGAAGGAAAATGGCTGGAGTGTCAGGTTTGTGAATGGTGCAGCGCTGGCAACTACAGTGATGCTGGGCTCTCAGTGCTTAGAGCCACCGACCTTCGCGAACATCGCCTTCATTCGCCTTCATTTTCACCTGTGATTTTCAAGGAGCCTGGAAGCTCTGTGTGCAAAAGCTGTGCCTCTTGGCATTTTTTGTCGCTGTAGGACTGCACGAAGCCGCGAAGCAGTATTGTATGGTCGCGGAGCGCCTAGCACGATTCAATTCTCGATGGCTTGCACATCTGCTGGGGGCATCGTGCTTGACACACATGCACAGACATGTCCAATATGATACGGGTCAATTTCCTCACCACAGCATCGCTCCGACTTTGCACCGCACCTGAGGAGAATGGCACCACCTCAGACGGACGCGGAAGCTCTGCGCTTGCCGACTGCAAGTGCCCACAAGGACAGTGGAGCTTCTAGCTGATTCCAGCTTCGAGTTGAACCTGGAAGGGCCCTTCACGGTAGCCCGGGATATGTGTTGAGAAGTGTGAAGGCTTCAAAGCGCGTCAGCAAATTTGTTTGACCTGGACAGTGGTCAATTACAGTGGAAGAGGCAGTTTCGAAGAGCAGGAACCTGCTTCGACGTTCACATTTCTTCCTGCACGAGCTGCCCTGCCGGCATGAGCTGTGCATGGGCGTGTGGCTTGTCTTGTCTTACTGCGCAGGCGCACTTTTGCAAGTCGTACACACTGAGCCGCGTCACGGTTTGCAATCGAGTAGCGTATCAGATCTCGAGAGACACCGAGAATTTGCGAGCTCTTGCCATTGATTTGCCTTTCATCTTCGGAATCCCAGCAGAGCTGTGTTGGGAGGCAATCTTAGCGCCTTCGGGTCACGCGAAGGAGAGCCTCTGCATCTCGGCTGGGAAGGGACCTTATCTGGAGCGCCGTGCCAGTTTTTGGGCGGTTGAATCCTGTACATAGGTGTCAAGACACGAGCTTCGTTTGCTCATGTTGCACGTTCTTGGAGTGCAGGCTGCAAGCAGGGTTTATGACCCTGGAAGCTGGAGACCCACTGAGCCGCGGCTACAACTGGTGGCACAATCGAATGTCTTAGTTTTGCCGTTTTGGTGTTCAAGGCATCAACACAAGAGGACATTCTGACAGTCTTTTTCAGTTTAGTACAGTATCTGAGCCTTGAAGATCACATGCCACGAGCACGTACAGTGTGCTCAGTCGCCAAGTCCGAGGAGAGTCTTCCGATGCAGGCTGACGATCGGTGATCGAAAGGTTTCAGACTTTGGGGGCTGGCCCGAGTGTTCTGCTCCCCTCCGGCAGGTCTGCAAAGGCTTGTCCCGGTGGCCGAAACGGAAGCTGTAGCGAGGGCCATGATGCACAGGCGACGGGATGCAGCGGAGAAGTTGCAGTGTCAGCATCGGATTGAGCTCGGAACGTGCCGTCGTTCTCATGAGCCACTGGAAACCCCTGATGCAGGCATTGCAAAACGCTGCAGTCGCTTCTCATTCTCTGAGACTTCTGAAAACTACCGCTTTTTCGATTTTTTAAATTTTGAGCTGCTCCTGTAGTTACTGTGGCTGGTGTCTTGAATTGACTTTGTCAATCATGTGGGAGGCAGTCGCATGTGGCCGATGTGTTTCCGGGCGACTTGGCATAATATGTGGTGGCTCGGAGCTGAATCGGGATCTGCTGGTGCCCTTGTATGACTCAGCAGGTGCCCCCAAAGCTACCTCGTTGCAGAGCAGTGCCAGTTAAATGCGAGGTATTCTCCACGCAGTGGCGGATGTAAAGTTTGTGAAGATGGCGACTCCCAGCTTCGTTGTCTCTTATAGGAAATGAAATTGGTACGGTTGGAGCCTGCCAGGGGAAAGGCAAGACTGGGGGCACTGCAACATGAAAATGTTTGAAGCCGGGATTCCCCGCAGTTATCCACGAAGAGGCCTCAGCTCAGGATTCGCTGCCGCTTATTCTGGTGGTGTGCGGCGCTTCTGCGCTGGTGGTGGTGACAACATTGGTGATCAACAAGGAAGCCTCCTGAGCCGACTCAACATGTCGTGATGATTGCCAGACACCGGGTCTACTAGTGTAAGAACTCCTTGACAGTGGATACCCCATAGCATCGGAGGATCCACTGATCCGGTCAAATGCCAGCATTATGGTTGCCATCCTAGGCGGCATGGCAGCCACTTGGCAAAGCCACTGCCCAAAATCAAGGTTTACTTTGCGCCTGGCTGAACGCGTCTCACCATCGTTTGCAATCCCAAAGGTCAGCTGTTTGCAAAGCTTGAACATCTATCGCCAGCTCGAGATAGACTGGTTCGAGCCGATGCGCAGTATTCTGAATGCTATGCCCGCAGCCTAATCTTCTGGAGCTGCAGATGCAGCTGTTGTCTTGGCAGCTCCCAAAGCGTACTTTTCGCAAGGTCGGTGCTGTCGTTTGACCTGGACATCCTGAACGGAGGCTGCATTCTCGGCCATGATGAAGCCTTGGCTTGCAAGACTTGCCCTCCCTGTTTGATCCCTACCTTCCTTCAGCGTGGCTGGACAGAACGTCAACCGATTCTGTTTGAACAAACCAGGAAGTGCGCAAGTACACCCTGCAGCAGTGTGCTGTGCTCGAATCCTGGTGGCATATAAACATGGATGGGTTACTTGATCAGGCCTCTGTCAGATCCAGAAGTCATCGGCCACAAGAATCTGACGGGCATGGCATGCTGCTGACATTGTGTACTCTGGTCAGGTGATTATTCCGTTGGTGCTGATCACCTTGTTCTGCAAGAAGCGGTTTGTTGCCACACAGGCCGATTTTGAGACGTCGAGATTAGGACGCTGAATCGTGGGATGGTAATTTTGGTCGCAGTTTTGTCTCGTCTGCTTTCTCTGGGGAGGGTCCGTAGTCCAGAAGTGTAAGTTTCACCCTACGGTCAAAAGGAAAATTTTGCACGTACAGGCGGAATCACATTGCCGACCACAAATAAGTCCTGTGCTGCTACCATGGTGCAGGTACTTTCTCGTTACACTTTGCTTTCGTTCGTGATGACGACTGTTACAACTGTTATATGTTTTCGACTCGGCAGGTTCGTGTCCAGTTCTGCAACACCGTTGGAACCTTCTTGCAGGCCGGAAATTTGATCAGATTTGTGTCTGCTGGGACGATGCAACATGTCCTGTGCAGGTGGCCTTCATCTCTTTGGTTATCAACAGTGTCATCCCATTGCGGTGCTTTGATCATCCGACGTTTGGCCGCTCGTCTCGGCTGAAAGTGCGGGTGTTGACTGTGACCTCCAGTATGGCTCTGGAGAGTCAGCACTGCAGGCTCTTCAGTGTCCTCCATGCCATCCATCTTATGCTTCGCGGAAGAAGGCAGGGCTGTGCAGGGGCTCGGACAGCCTTGAAGCTTTGGTGGGACTAGTGACTAGACAGGAGACCATATGCTGCTGCTGCTTGCCGGCCTCCTTTCCTTCCTGCTTCTTCCTTGTCCGTTTTTGGCGGTAAGCCCAGCACCCGCATTGCATGTACTTGCAGCGTGCAACTTCCAGCTAGAGGACAGCAGCGCACAGAAGGACATCCTGTTCTAGAATGTGGTTAGAGAGCGCGAGAGAGAGAGAGAGAGAGAGGGGAAGAGACTATCGCAAGAACGAGCGCCTGTTAGCATGATGCATCTCATAGTTGCGTAGCTTTTCTGTTAAATCCGACCCGAGCAGCTGGGAAGGGAATACTACTGTAAATTGCCAAATACTGCCAACACTCTTTTCCTTGTCTGTCCACTCCAACACAAATCGTGCGGGCGCCAAAAATACAAGTTGCGCACTCGGGGTGGGGGACACTCTCCTTTAGACCTGCAGAAAGAAAGACTGGTGCTAAGGCGCTCAGCTGTTGGGCAACGTGGGCGTCCAGGCAGCAACAGAGGTGGTCTGTTTGTTGCTATTGCTGGTTTGCAGAGCTTTGTTTCCTCAAGTCGTGTGCTGCTGGCTAGGACCACAACATACCACTACCGTATGAAGATGAGTTTTAACGACTGCATCTCCGGTCCTTCTGTGTGACAGAGGTGTATCCGGCAAAGCTTACGGATAAGTCTCCTGCGGGGCGCAATTTTCAGAGACCCGGCGACATAATTCAGATCATGCGTCGGTGTTGCACGTTTGCCGGTTGCAGCTTCGTAGTATTGACGAGAACGTTGGCCGGTTGCAGCTTCGTATTATTGACGGGAAGAACACCTGACTGGATTCTTCCGTTCACACCAGGCTTTCCACTCAGTTCCTCTTCTCTCGCTTCACTCCTGCAGCGGCTCGGCGACATTCATTTGCCAAGAACGAGGCTCGACCGACTCGCAGGCCGAGCGGCCGGACGTGTCCTTGTGGAATGCAGAGAAGCGTTGTAGGGTAAATCCTCCTGGAGTCCACTGAGTCAATTAGTCAATTAACCGTTGGCATCTCAGCGCCACACGAAATCCATGTTCGGAATCGAATGAAGCAGATGCGCCGGGTAATGCCTGTCTTGGAGACAGAAAGTCGAGCCCTAGGCCCACTATTATTGCATTGTGTCCCTCGCGAAGAACTGCCTTCTTGCCTTCGTCCCGGTGATTTTTCAGAGAGGTGCCAGCCTTACATGCAGTGCGGCTCAGAGGGACTTGGTGTTGAACTGCCGAGATTTCACGTTTGGCATCTGCGACTCACGCGCCCCATGTAGCTCGATACAATCGTGGCCGTGCGAGCACTGCAGTTGGCACAAGCCCGCAGAGAGCTGCATGCCAGAAGCACCTCGCCGGTACGCTGTCGCATCATGCTAGAGACTGACTAAGATGAGCGAGACCATGAATCTCGTTGAGAGGGGGACCGGGGAGGGTGGGGGGGGGGGGGGGGGGGGAATGAAACCTAACTAAACTGGAAGTCAACGTGAAACTGCCCTGGCCTCGCCTCCGGCGCGGTTCGGTGCCTGCAACAAGGACCTTGAGCAAACGGTCTGACAAAGTTCCAGGACATCAAGAAGCCGAAGCAGCTGAATAAAGCACGTTCGCAAGCCCGCCAAAAGCCGAGGCGTCGCTCTGCAAAGTTGCTTGCTGGGTGGCTCGGATGTGAAGCAGACCTCCCTGTCTTGTCGCAGACTTGGTAGCACGAGTCAAGCCTTTGCCTTCTCTCATGTAAGTTGCTCCGATCGATGGCATCCGCTGCATGTCGACGTACGATCATCCCTTGCAGCCGAGGTTTTGCAATCGTGTTGTTCATGATGCACCAACTGCAGCTTCACCCCTGGAAGAGCTACATTGCAAACCAGATGGATGGATTCTGTAGTGGCTGTGAAGCATGATTCTGCGTATCTGGCTTTGTACATCTCTGACACAACTCCTTTTCTGTTCGCACGTGCGCATGTGCGAATAGCTGTGGTGTTGAGCCAAGGTGCCTCTTTGCTGCTGCTGCTACTCTGTGGCACTCTTGCATCGCCCACGGATGCATCCACCATTCGGGAGCCAGCTGCAAGCATTGGAGATTCTAAGCGCGGGCTTGGTCGTTGAAATCTCATGTGTTGAGAAGCCACGGTACCATTGCAAAACCCAAGCATCTGCAAGATGCAGCGAGATGCTGTTCCAGGGCCAGCTTGCTCTTAGGCATTTTTGCAGCCTTTTCCCTTCTAAGTCTCTCGATCGTGGGCACAGCTATAGCCCTCGTTCTCGGTGCATTCCTGACGGTGGGACTTGGCTACAGCATCTACAGAACGTGCGTCCGAGCCTCAGTTTAGCTGGACAAACACCGCAAGAACTGGAGCTGGGAGCGCATGGGATGGGAGATCATGCAGGTTTATTCCTCGCTTCAGGCATGTTGTATACATGTCCTGGGTCGTGAGATCTGCAGCTTCTCAGGTGCCAGGGAAGCATTACAAGTCACTCGCCGGCACGGCATCAGAGCCGCGGTGCTGCAGCACTGCTTGGGCTTTGCAAATTAGCTCTGGATCCCAGGTGGTTCATCTGCCATCACAAGGCCGACGCATCTGCACAGGCGCGTCTGCTCAAGGTGCTGCTTCAGGCGAGGCCTGCAGTTTTCTGACTTGCTTAGCCACTCAGATGAGTGGATGGCAAAGGCTTCCAGACGTCCAGAGTCCAAGGCGAACAACTCCTACGGCAACGTGTTCATAGACTCAGACAACCTCGTTGACTTGGCTGCTCGGTTGAGCGGAACTTATTATTTCGAGAACTGCGAAAGCAGCCGAAAATACTTAGCAGTTCGGAAGCCGTAAGCTCGTCGGTACGAGTGACTAGCACAACAAAGCCTACTATGCGAATCGCTCGGGCAGATTCGGCCGGTGCACTCCTTGGCTTGTAGAAATCAAGCTTTACGGCCTTCTTACGGCGCAGAAGCACTTTTGTAGGTTCGCGTCACGCTAGAGAGAAGGAAACACATGAGACAGCACTAGCACTGGCAGCACAGTTCCAGGTTGCAAAATTCCAGTTTCAACATAGCCAGCAAACGATGTGTCCAGTACTTGTGCATGCAAGGACACATTATTCAATGTGGTCAAGGTGCAGGTGGAAACACTTGTTTCTGGGCAGCAACGACTAGCTAGCAGCTTTTGTCAGACACTGTGTTGATGCCCAGTTTGCACTAGCTCTGCCAGAAGCTCATGAACAACGATGGTCAAGCTGACCGAGGTGGTGTACATGACGCGTGATATTCTGACACGACCATGGTGCGTGGGTGAAATCGTAACAGCATTCAGGAGTCCATGATGTGCGGAAAGATGCCGTGCACGTGACAGGCGTTGTCCATCGCGTTAGGTTTTATCAGTAACCTGCAGCAGTAGACTGAGTCCAGACTTGCGTGCATCTTTGGCATGGCAAACCGCAGGAGCAGAACAGTGCAAGTGGTGAGGGTCAAGACTTGCAGCGCCTCGGTCTACCTGCCCATACCTTCCTTCTTTCCTGAGTTGCTGTCTTGGGATGGCACCGGGCCATGAGTCCATCCAGTCCATGTGCAGGCTACTCTGTGCCTTCTGATGAGAAGCTGAACGACTTGGAATACTTACAGCATTCCGGCGGGCATGTCGAGGTGTTTTTGCAACGAGCCATCGGCAGGTATCTGTGATGATGTGCCTTTAGTATGGCTCTGTGGGGATGTAGCGGCTGCTAATTGTCACAACGTGGCGACAAGGTCATACATAGACATGCGCGGCTGCAACCTCGCACGTTATTTCATTCGGATGGAAGACGTGCGAGATGCCTTTGCAAACTTGCTTCGACCGAGCACCCCCTGTGTGGAGCCTTGCCTTGGCACGATGCCTTTGGGAGTTGATCCGGCAGCACCTACGTCGCCGCATTTTCCATGACATGCTGCAGTTACTACTGTGAGTACTTGCAGAAGTGTTCCGCATAGCCTAAGGAATTCAACGATTCCCTGGTTGGGACGCATAGATTCGACAAGCCTCTTGGAATCTCTTGGACTATACCGATGAATTGAGATCGCTCACTGCATGTGCGAAAACAGCCCAGGTTGGCAGAAGACCTGGCCGAGCTGTCTTTCCAAAGATCGAGGCTTGCATTGATTGAAATTGTGCAAATTGACTTTGTTGTGCTATGCAGCCTGCGTTCAAATGGGGAACTTCACAGCTGATGGAATGAGTGTCACTTTCTGGTGAGGAAGGGCAAACAGAAAGCAGCTTTCCCGAAGGATGAGGGCAACCCAGACGTTGAGTGCCTCAGATGCAGAGAAGCCGACAGAAGCCAACCCCATGCCACTATGCTTGCTCAGTGTCCGCTTAGACTGTAGATCTCGCCAGTAAGGAGCGATGACACAGCTGACTTGGCCGCTCGTCGGTTCAGCTCCGTGCTAACCGATTTCTGCAAAAAGTAATGGGCAAACTGCTCGAGGAAAGCCATGTTGGTCTTCCAGGCTACCAGGCGTCGGTGCCCGCAAACCCTTTGGTAACGCAGTGGCGTAAACTATGGCGTAAAGTGTAAAGTTATTGGATAGGTGGGGAAACGGCACCCTTGAGAGGCGCGCGTACTTTTTCGACTCAAACCACGTTTTCGCCAGTCCCGAGCTAGCCGCGTCTTGTAAATTCCAGTGCTTTGTTGCTCTTGCACTTGATGAATCGCGCTTGGGTCAGAAATCGTGCTCCCGCCGCAGTCCCGTGCTCACGTTGGCTTTCAGCTGGGTACGGTTGTCGTGCACAGCGAACCCTCGATCAACACTGCAAGTTACCTGACAGTTACATTGTTAATCTGTTAATCATGGCTAGCGTCAGGCTTTGAATCAGCTGTTGCGATCGCCGTCAAGCTTTTGAAAATTACCGCTTACCTGCCCGAGCCTTATGGTTGTATACAATGTGTAGTTGCCCATCGGCGGATGACATACTGGGATGCGACCGTCGTCGCTCGAAGTTGCTCAATTCCTGGCAGGGGCACTATTCTGTAGCTCGGGGCTCGACGCTGTTTCGAAATCCGACCGTTCTCCAATCGTTCTGAGCGGTTTTTGGAGTTTTCCGCTGTGTGGGCCTCGTTTTACCGCAAGCGTCCCGTGCGTTTGTGCTTAGTGGAATCGTGATGAATCGTGTTCCCATCTTGGCGCGCACTTGTCCCGAAGCCGTGCTCCCGCCCCAGTAGTTCTGCGTGTTCTGGGGTGCCGGTTTTGTTTCTGCTGCAGTCCAGTACACACGTTAACCGTTTCAAGTCTACGCTGGCATAATGTTTGTACGGCCGATGGCATCACATGGATCGATCCCAACAAGTTGTCGGAATCGGGGACCCCGCATAGTCTTTTTCTCTCTGTGTGTGTGCGCGCGCCGTGGCTGGACCCGTTCACCTAGTCATACGGGTGCAGTCTTTGTTTCAGCATGTCTTACTGTCCCGTTCTGTATATCAGTCCGATTGTTTGTCTCTCAACTGTCCAGTCATATTGTCCGTGCATGGCAGCAGCCATCTGCTTCTCCGCCCATCCTTCCAGCTTTGCACCGGTGTTTGTCCTTGTTTGCCTGTCTGTCGTGCGCCTCCGCCTCTCTGTCTCTCTTCCTATCTCTTCCCGCGGCCACATACATGCTGCATGCATGGGTGCACGCTTCCATGCATGTCTGTATACACACGTGCGACTGCATGTGTATACTTATACAGCCTATGTGGCTACAAACGCCGTCGCGCACCGTATCTGTTGCCAAGGCGTGGCGCTGGATCTCCTTTTCCATCGATAGTAAAACGCCTCGGTTGGCGATTTTGACCATTTGCCAGTTCGTTATAGTTCGTGCCTCTACGGCCGTCCACAGGTGCATCGGGCCGTATCCAGCATTTTGTCGCAAGCTGCGACAACGATCTATTGCAGATACCTGTCCATGTCCTCCTGCTGGACATGTGACTCTCCCTCATCACATATCGTCTGTTCTGGCTGCAGAGCAGCATGTGGATCAAACTTCACATCCATTGGTCTTGCAGCCCTATCCTTGTCCGGGTAGCTGTACCCAGCTCGCCGTTCTCCTACTTGTGCCTGTGGTTTTGTGTGAATTGACGCATCACCAGTCATCTTTTCCATGACCCCCACGTCATGTCGAAGCATTTTGTTTAATCAAGCCTTATCAGACCCTCAATCCCGCAGAAGGTCAACCCTTCTCCTCTTCCTGCCGGCAGTCTTGTGTGTCCGAAAGGGTTTGCTTGCTTTTGCCCGGTCCATACTGCTGAGGTCGTCATCTCGTCGGAGCCAGGCAATGACGAGGCAACAGCGGCCGCTTCGATCCTGTGCAGAAAAATGACACCCAGCAGAACTGGCGAAGGGAGCATTACGAGAGTGAGAGTTCAGCTGCTTAAGTTCAGGAATGCAGGGGTCGCGGCGTGCGGGACCAGTGTCTGGACAGCACATCGGACCACATCTTTTCAGCTCCCCAACAAAACTACAGGACATGCTGACAGCATGCCGAGCCCCCTGTCACACCCCCCCCCTCCCCTTGGACTTTCCGTGGCTTCCAGGCGCCATATGCCTCGTCGATTCTGGCAGGAATCAGTTCCACATGGCGACGCTGGGACTTGTTCACAACCAGCACATCATGCGAAGACGGCATGTGTCCTTTTTCAAGGAACTGTGTGGCCCGCTGTCGTGCATTGGTGGTGCTTCTGTCCTTCGGGTCGCTGTCTTCGATCTTCCAACTCCATGCCATCGTGGAGCCCCGCGGTGCCAAGAGTTTCATGGGATTGCGGCCACAGGCGAAAGAGGCGGAGAGTGTTAATGTCTGCCGGCAAGGCTTTAGGCCTCGGAGCTGTTCAGGTTGATGCTTCAGCTTGACAAGTTGGGAAGCGAGTCCAAGAACAAGCCGGCAATTATTCCTATGCGCCTCGACGGAGTCCAAGCGCGTGTTCACCAATGATCCCTTGGCTTTTCACGTGTTTTCCGAGGAATCTGCCTGAGTTTCAATTCCCACAAGCTGCTTGCACAAATGGTTGGGAAGAGCGCATGTGGTGGCAAACCAGGAGATTAAACTAGCCTTAGGAGAAGTGTTGAGCAGTCTTTTGATTCCTTCCGTTGCCATGATGGAAGGGCTTTGCCACATGCTCGGAGGCTGCATACTACGAAGAGCAGCTGCCTGTGATTTGGGGTGAGGCAGACCTTCAGAAAGCGGCTGAGAAAATCAAGAGTTTTTTCAGGCTGGTCCGGAGGTACTGGCACAACTTGAATATTTTCATGAGTGGTTAGTTAATTCGTAGTCGTAGTAACAACTTATTATTGTTATTATGTTACCGTTTGCCCTGTGAGGTTCATCACCATCAACCTGCCAATTCACGCCTCCGACCTTCTGATCGAAACGCAATGCCTCGAAGTCCTGAAGCGGGTTCCTAAAGAGTCTTCTGCAAGCACCTCGCTGGGAAGATTTCTGCATTATTGGAGTGTGCCCACAGTTAAGCGCTAGGCGGCTTGGTGTTGGATGTCTTTGAGCGGTGGAACTCTTGCTTGCAATCTGGAACCCAGTGTGGGGCAGTTGAGGTCATCCAGCGGACATGCTTAGTTCTTTCCTGAGGTCATTCGGTGCATCGTGAACCACTGATGCAGGAGCCTGCCGAGCTTGATAGTCATGCGACAACTACACCTATTCCGTAGGTCAAGGCATGGCTTGGAGCATCCTGGAGCCGAGTGCCAGTTGTTAAGAGCCTTCTCGTCTGCGTACAGCCGCCAAAGGCCTATGTACACTATTGAAACACTAATTACTACTTGGACACCAGTAACGCTACATACTCCGGAAGAGATCATCAAGTCAGGCCCGAATGCATTTTGAAGTCGGCTAGGCGACGAAGGCTCGTTTCACAGTGCTCTTGTTTTGAACGTAAGCTCGCACGTGGGCGGAGGGAATCTGAGTGAGAAAGCCTACGGCCCCGAAGGATCTGGCCGGCGTCATCGCCTCAAATCGTGGCCACTTCCACTTGCTTCGCAATGGTGGTGATGTCGGAGACAATGCTGCTGGGCGGCACTGGTGTGGGAGTTGGTTCACAGACAGGGGTCGCAGTTTATGAGTCAATTGTCAGTTTCTTGGCTACAGACTGCGGTTTTGCACACATGACAGTAGTCCCTGCCTGCTGCTGTAGAGCTGTCTCTGGAAGCTCTTGTTCTCTGTTGCCAGAATTTCTCACACTAAATCTGCACGAGTTGCATGTCACATAAAAACTGACTCGCAGATTTGATACCGTGTCACTCGCTCTGCTGCTTTCAAGGACACCTTTAAGCCACTTGTGAGTCTTGGACGGACGTCTAACGGCAGCAGCGAGTCAACGAGACTGGAAATTATTGGACCCGACGACTCTCGACTGCTTTCTATCGTTTGGCGAACTGTTGGTTTTGATGTTCCCGGAGAGACACCAGACAGAGCAATCACAATTCAGCAACACTCTACTGGCAGGACGCTGGGATCAAGCTCACCTCGCCGGGGAAGTGTACTAGCGACACAAGCACGAAAGTGACGCTTTGAGCTGGAAGCTGCACTCTCCCTGCGATGGCAGAGATGAGGGCAAGGCTCAGCCAGTTAACGATGCACAGAGCCCGAGCATTTGGCTCCGGGTGAGCGAATCAGAATCACTTGTGCAATCTTTCAGCTTTTAGTATCTGTTACAAGTCATGTCATGGAGCTTGCAGCATTGGATGCTTCGATTCGCTTGTAGCGTTGGAACTCACAGGTCGAAGCCCTGTGAGCACGCAGTGACCCAGCAAGTTAAAGGGTGGTCAAACGACGTGCCAGCTGCGGCACGCGGTCAGGCAGCTAATACCTGCTTACAGAGCGTAGATTGGCAGACTCGCAGGACGAGCTCAGACTCCTACAGCGACAACTCCAGTGGCTGCCTGGCGTACTCTTTCATCACCATTTTGTGACGTTCAGTCTTGGCCACGTGAGTTTCGCTGAGGAGACGAGTCTTCTTCCGCGCCGTGGCCTGGCTTTTTGAAGCTTTGGTTTCGGCTCAGCTTGGACCGAGTGGTCCCATGTTCAGCAGTCGGCAGTCCGACTACCGTTTTGAGTCACACAGGGAAACATACAGTAAGAAGCAATCGTTTCTGCCTGATCCCGCAACCATCCTCGACACCAAGAGGTTGGCACAACCCAAAGCAGATAATCCTACCGTGTGATGTACACCTCCGTGGTCTTCTGGCAGTGGCTCGACAAGCGGGAAAGAGGCTTGACGAGTACGCTCATGCCAGTCAAGGCATCAGCAAAACTTGGTGGAGAGTTTTCAAGATAGAGGGGGGCCAAGTGTTCATCAATGAACAGAGTCGACTGCTCAAGTTTGTCGACGTGGAGCTACTGGGACAAGGCCACCATCGGCCACCTACGCAAACGAATGTGTATGTAGTATTTATGCGTGTGTATATGTGTGTCTGTGTACATCTGTACAGGTGTATATGTCTAGGTGTGTAAGCCTTGGAAAGCCCCGGTGACCAGGTCCATGAGGCCCATGCGCGACCTCGTTCGACTCGCCAAGGCTGGGAGTTTTCAACTAGTACCAAGGCTACGATCATGCTCTTCCTTCACTTGAAACTGCCACCATCCTAGAGCTGGACCGTTACAAATTTCCTGAAGGCAGGCGACCTCCGCCAAGTGAGTCTCTTGCTTGAACCGGAGAGCCGTTCACCTGGCTAGGTTAATACTCGCTGACTGTCGAGCGAATGCACTGAATCGCAAAGGAGAGATGCTGGCTCGTGCAAATCCACGTGAGGCGCCTGCGATTAGAACGTATTGGCTAGCTGATGGAGATTGCTACAACGATTGGGTCCTAGCTCATGCGCACGTGTTGCCCGTGTTCGAAGTCTTCAGGTGGGGCTGGGCCGGGCTTGCTCTCTCACGCATCTCCTAAGCTCGCTTCAGTTGAACCGAGAAACTTGGGGCAGAACTAAAGCTTCCAATTCCTAGTCGCGTGCCACCGGCTTGGCAGGTAGCAACCCTCGGCACAGAAGCCTTGCACGCGGCATGTTCAGAGGGGCATCAGGACAGGGCCCCCGGACACGGGCAAGTAGCATGTCGCATGGTTGTGCATGTGCAGTTGCGTGTGGCTACAACAAGTTGTATGAACTTGTGCCAGCCAGCAAGCCAGCAGAGCAAAAGTGTATGAAGGAGATCGTAAAAATGCTATGCGCAGCCAAGACGAAGCTGAGCTGTGACTGCAATCTGCAGTGCTCGCGCGGGTGACGAGAAGCTGCAGTAATGCCAACTGTTTGCTTTGGATATCTGAGGAATGCCAAAGATCAAAATGGCTTGACTCCTCTGCACGTAGCAGCCTTTCGAGGCGATGATGCCGAGACTGGACTTAACGGTTCATGAGTCTTCCAAAAGGTAGTGTTTTGATATCTTCTTTTCTTCTGCGGTGTTGTTCCAGTCTCTTGTGCTCGGGCGCTGCTTTTTCTCCCGAGGTGGTGCAGATCCTCTGCAAGGCCAAAGCAGATGTGCATGCAGTGGATGAAGAGGGCTGGACTCCACTTTATGCTTCTCCGCAGCACCAGGACGAGGTGCCCACCTCGAATGCACACAGGTTTTTGGGGCCGACACGACGGCGCTGCATCGTCGTTGTATAGGTGTTGAAGAGATTCTGCGTCCATCTGAGGTCGTTGCATCGTTCAGTGGTCAGGTCGACGTGGCACGAAGCCTTTTGCGTGCGAAGTCAGATGCCCCCAGCCTGCACTTGCAAGCAATATGGAAGGCTTTGGGCCAGACTGAGTAGGCAGTGTCGCTGCAACGCGTGCGTACCCACGTGCCCCAGGTCAAGTTCAAGACCGCCAACGGCACGAGTGTGGTTGCAGCCGCACAGCAGAAAGGCCATCGGCCGAAGCTCACAAGTCAGAAGAATCCCCTCTCCGTGTCCATGCACTGGGGGTGAGTGTGCACTCCCGGGAGCATTCTGAAACATCAGCGGACTTGAGAGGCTTCGGCGATCTGCTACAGCTGCTGAAGTCCGAGTCAAAAGCTTCATGATGCTCTTTGCGGCATGCAGTACGACCAAAAAGGACGTGCTGTCAAAGCATGGACGCCGTCATCTCAATGTTGGCCTGTGGGCACGGACTATGGTTCTGCAAAGTTTGTGTTGCCAATGGCGCACGCTTTTCGCTTGTGGATGATGCAATGAAGCGCATCGGCGCCAGAATCCGACGAGGCGAGATGTGACACAGTAATTTATCCGAGCTTCGGAATAGTAGCGGGGTCCCCCCCCCG